TGTTGTGGAGCTTGTTGTTTGGCTCTTCTGCCTCAGATGAACCCTGCTTGGGATCATTCAGCTACACCCTCCCAGGTAAATTTGAACCAGCTACAACTTATGATTTCACAAGGAGCAAAAAGAGATCACAGACGAGGCTAATTCAATTGATGAGATATCTAGCATCTCTGTGTCCTCATAAGACTTCGCTTGGCTCTACTAGGGAGACTGCATCAGACTGCTGTTATGTAATCAAGTTAGCATTAAAGCTTAAGTGAGTTTGGATCCAGAGAGGCAACAGTTGTTTTTTTTTTTCCTCTTGGGGAACGAAATAAAAAGGGCAAAGTAGAAGGATGCTAGCAAAGAGGTCATGCACCAGAAAAGTGACAGGAGTCAAATGTAAAAATATCAGCAGGAACGACAGGTGACAGAGCCGGAGAGGGAGAAGAGGGAAAGTCGCGCTGAAGAAACGCGTAACGTGAGTAATAAAGCAAGGACAGGAAGAGACAGAGAGAGGTTGTACAAGGTAAATCTGGGCATGACGAGTTGTGTTGTGATGACAGAGAGCATGACACTAAGGGGGGAGGAACTACACCATGCCGTGCAGACATGGAGGGAGGGAGGGAGGGGAGGCTGGACGAGAGCAACTAGAAAGAAGGGAGAGCAAGAGGGAGGCAGGCTGGTGGAGGGAAATAAACAGAGTGGCCGTTCCTCCCAGCAGCCAGTCTGAGGCACACAGCTACTAGTGAAGTCTGTTTCAGTTGATTGCAGCAACTCAAGCTCAGTTCTTTTTTGCATTTGTCTGGGATCAACTCGTTGCTGAGTTCAGTGGGAGGCTTATAGTCGGGGATTTGAGGTCTGCAAACACAGCTTGTGTTCATGTGAACCAGGCTGAGTGGGACACGTGCAGTAACTTCCTGGGAGGCTGGATCAGCAGACGGTGCTGCTGGGCTGCATCATCTCCTGCTGATATTCCTTCAAAAGGAGCAACATGCATATCTTACAGCCGTACTGCATCAACAGGTTGGTGTGATTGCGGGAATGCATATCTCTGCGATTGCGTGTATGTCTGTTGGAAGTGGGTGTGTGCTCTGCTGGCATCTGTGCCCCCTGTCACATGCTCATAACAGATTAAGTATGAGATGTCTGTGTGTGTTGAGTCCTGTTTATGGTCTTCGCTATCTGTAAACCAGTTTATTAGTCACAAATTCATAACAGTAGTCCAGAAATTTGATTTCCAAGGGATGATTGCATTAATTTACTTTCATCTGATGAAATGTCTGAAATCTGAAAGGATGTTAGTGATTCTGTAAGCCTTGCTAGTTTAACAATAAATCTGTTGTGAGTGCATGTACCACATCCAGATCATTCAACTGATGCCCCAGGACAGAGCTCTAGACCAGCTCCTGTGTCTGTCTTTGCAACCACATAATTGTTTCCATTTTCACAAAATGTATGTTATATTTTAACAGAAATGCACTTTGGATAGTTTCTATTTATTTCTTTGTCAAAGGGAATCTCATTAAGGCAAAGGTTCTATTTAAAGCTGCCGTAGCATGGATGCCAAGTAGCTTGTTACAAGAGTAGTAACATTAACAAATCAGCCTAAGACTGCTTGTTCAACTAACTCACAAAGTTATCAATTAATTAATTAGGTAGTTATAGTGTTTAAAATCTAACGAAGATGGTAATGGTTTAAACAAGCTCATTAAGGGTGTCACAAGAACCGATCATTCCATACGTTTTGAGACCAAAAGCCAGGGCAGAAAATCCTCAGAACTCCAGGGGACATCTATAAGAAAGTTGTGTACACCCACACACAGTGAAAACTACTGTCATTGGAAGATGGGCTAGTCCAACTGTCGCAGTATCTCTGTCCCAACACATTGATAAGAATGGCAGTCAAAGTTGGGTATGGTGATATTTGATATGCAAAAGACAATATGCGAAAATGCTGCACTGCTTTTCAGAGCAATTAAGGCTCATTTTCAATTGAGTGACGCACCTGCAAGAGATCCATTGTAAGGACTCAAGCTGACTGAGTTTCAGCTCAACATGTAAAATGATCTGTGCATTTCTTTTTATCCTAAAATTATCCAAAAATGCGTGTTACCAGTTTGTCTGGCAACAAAATAAATGTTCCCATTTCAAAGTAACATCCTGCTACCATCCTGTCAGGCATTCAAACAAACTCATTAACGGGTTTATGTTTAAGGACACATTGGTTTGGTATGAAAGTAGATATTAAGAATGATTTTGGTACGCAAATCAAACGCAAAGATTTGTGCTCTGATAATTGTGACTGATTGTTTGCTCTAGCAGTTGCCTTTTGCATAGATTTGCAGCTTACTGAGATTCACAACATATCAGGTTTTTCTCATTGATAAATGGCAGACACCACAACAACTTGCTAAAAAATATATGTATAAATACAAAACTGTAATTGTTCACCCTTCTTCTCTATAACCACCATGGAGACCACTGAGGGCTGGACGTCTTCAGCCTGTTCTGTTCTGCTGCCCCCATAGCGGTCAGGAATAAATGGTTGCAGCTTTATGATTGCAGTTTTCAAAAGATGTAAACTTCCTCTCCCCTGTGGATTGTCATTTTTTTAAGTTGGATTTGGATTTCAAGTAGCGCTAAATCATTCTCTGGAAATGTTTCCAAACCTCACCAACTTACACATTTGAGTTATTCCTTCACATTGTAGAAAATGTATACAAGAGCTGTCAACACTGACATAAACTCCAGTTCAGTTTACATTGATCAGCTACCAGAGCAGACAGTTTCCCACCATGTTACTGCCTCACCATGTGCACTGCTTTAAAGATAATATGTTTCATGGACCGTGAAGAGCAGCAAGAACTGAAAAAGAGACGTCAGAGGATTTTTTTTCTTTTCTTTTTTTTAGGTTGGAAGAGCAAAGTGGATTTGACAGCCAGTGAGCAGGGGGAAGGAGGGACGACAGTGGTGTTACCTAATAGTGTTGATGGAAGTTGAGGGAGGAGAAGAGGAAAGAGGTGGGGCGGAGGGAAAGACAGAAATCACTGGGAGGATCGAGGGAATATAGCAGTAGCTGTGAGCCGACAAAGTGACAGTGGTTTGGAGAGAGAGCTTTTAAAGAGACAGAGAAAATGGGAATGCGAGGGGTGTGGAGCAAACAGCCAAACATGTGGATAGATGGGGGGGAAGGGAGGGGGGGATGGAGAGAGTGTGCTAATCCAAATCTGCTGCAAATAACAGAATTTGTCATGTGAGCATGATAAAGGAGAAGGATACAAAATTATAGAAAGCGACAGAAGGTGGGGATGAATGGTGCATGTGCAGTCTTTAAGTGTAGAGGATAGAGTGGAGTAGCCTTCATTTCCATGCATGGGAAGCATTGGTATGATTCAGTTTTGAATCCGTGACCAGAGTTTGTCAGTAATCCCCCAAAAGTGTTGGAAGTTAAACTTTGTTGCCTATCAGTTCATTTGTCCATCCAGCCATTCATAGTATGCTAACATGTGCAGAATGCTTGCAGTACAAACTGACATTAGAGCCCGCCATAAATGACGCGACAACACTCGGTAATTTGTAAACGATCCTGTTCTTATTCTATCGTTTTATTTGTTTGTTTTTAAACCGGTCATTACCGTGTATGGTCAAGTGTTTGATCTGTGCCATTATCGACTAACACTACTCAAGCTAGCTTGGGTAGCATAGTTCGTCAAGTAAGGTTAAACAAGGTAAGAATTTTGCCTAGCAACAAAAAGGAAATGGGCTCAAACTAAAGTCTATTTGCAGAACAAACTCAATAGTGCAGCGAAATAACAAGATTCAAATATACCAGCCTGTTTCTGCTGTAACCATAGACGAGGCTGAAGTGGCGTTTGAAGAGACTGTGCTGTATTTGTTTACCATGCATATTGTGGTGGTTTGGATTGCTAATTAGCACCACGCTCAACCATGACTTTAGCAAATTTATTACAGGAACTCATTTTGGGACCACGTGTTGAACATATTTCAAAACAAGCAAGACAAGGAGACACTGAGATCTTGAAAGATCTTAGAAATTAAAAAGATTTTCTTCTTTTTTATTACTTAGTTTTTAATAAAGGTTTTACGTATTTTAACAGAAAAGGAAAACAACAAACAACCAAAAACAACAATAACAAAACAAGCAGTCGACTGAAAAGCACAGCTTTTTCCCACAAAGCAATTCTGGCAGTGAGAACTTGACTTTATATCCATGAATTGACAGCACATATACAGATGTAAGAGCAGCCTCGGAGAGGCATGCAAGAGTTTACATAGATGTGGGTAGGCACAAACAGGAGAACGGAAGAAAAAAAAATTCTAATTTCGGATATATTTCAACCACTTGTCCCATCTCGTGGTATAAATATTAGCTTGCAGCCTTAACAAAAAGGTAAGTTTTTCCATTTTATGAATCTCCTCAACAACGCTCAACCAGTCGACCAGAACAGGGGGGTCAGTACATTCGGCAAGTACAAAAGGACATCATCAGCTATTTTGTGTTCTCTTGAATTAACTACGACCCCATGAATACTATTATTTTCTCTTATTGCCTGTGCTAAAGGTTCAATGTAAAGAGCGAAAAGAGTCTGAGACAAGTGACAACCTTGACGAGTAGATCTTTAGAAATTAAAAACATTTTCATAGCAAACTAACAGCTCTTATATAATGTCAAGTGTCAGACTGGTTACCCAGCAAACCAAATGTAAAATGTAAGTCTATGACTGCAGACCAACATATTTATGGAGAGGATTCCTTTAAATATCTAAAATGCAGCATAGTTTCCACGTTTCTCTACCAGTTTTTCTAGCAGTGTTATCTTATGTCTTTTTTAATGTAGTTAATTACAAAACAAAAAAAAAAACAGAAACTGTCTTTGCATTATCTGGCTTGGAAAAAGAAATCTTATTAATGATTTTTTTCCTGAAGCTGCTATAATGTTATCTTTTTTTAATCACTAATGTCTTTTTTCCCTTCCACCCTCTTCTCCTCCACCCTCCCAGATGGCCAGATGTGCCGAAAAGGAAGAGAAAGAACAGCCAGTGCTCAGTGAAGAGCATGTCCGGTAACTAACTTCATTATCTCTGCCTCACTCGTGTTGTTTGTGTCACCCCCCACATGGAAGTGAACACAATTCAAAGCATATTTCCTCTAAGACGATGTCTTTTGATGTACTGCTGGATTCGGCCAGTGATTGGTTTAAATCCGTGACTCGGCAGCTCCCCTGGGTTTTCAGTGGTGTCCTTATTGTCAGGAATATGATTATTCCTCGTCACCATTGTATAGTTTCCCTCAGAGGCCTTGTTGAACACAAATCAGCTAACCAAGGGGGATTGGTTAGGCAGGTCTATGAATGTTCAGGACTAATCTTTAATGGATTATATCAGAAGAGAAATAGATGTATGCAATAATCATTATTCATGTTATGGATAAATAAACAGAATCAGCATTTACCTGTAAACTTTGTATTTTGTTCATGATTTTTTTTTTTCCTGATTTAATATGCTAGCCTCAGATATCGTCGAGCCAAATTAATCGGGGCAAATGTAGTGTTTTCCATAGTGGTAGCTTGTGGTGTAGGGGTGCTTAATTACAAATCTGGATTATGAATTGTATGTATTGAAATTGCAAAATCACAACAGTCTTTGAACCTAGACATGTCTTTAATTGGGCTCTTCCTGCACACTAAAACTGGAACGTTCACATTTAATACAAGGTGGGCCTTAATGCTGGAACCAGTGCATTTCAAAAGATCCAACTTTTACTTGATGGCTAAAGGTTTGGGCCACACTTTTCACAGTAGTTGCGTGTGGTTTCAGACAAATTAACATTTTCCACAGAATCCGTAGTTGAGTGTGCTAGTCTGCTAACGACCAAAACGGTCACAAGGAATTTTTGGATGCATCACTGTCAGGAAATACACTTTTTCCTGAGATCCCAATGGTTGCCAGTCACCAATTAGTTGGTAGGTCTTGTACAAGATAGCTTTGGTCGTGATATAACAGTTATGTTGCAAATCCCGTCTGTGATGAAGATGCAAAGACTTCCTGTAAACCACTTAACTCAGGAACAGCATTGTTCGTTCACTTTTATATGTTTATTATACATTATCGCATGAAATTATACAGAATCAGAATGGATCTACTTTTTTTCCTTCTTCGCTTCAGTAGTACAAGAGGATTGACTGATGAAGTATGCTCCCTGTGGAGCAGACTTTACTTTTGTGATTTCCAGCAGCGTCTGTACATGTGGGTTATTGTTTGCACCTGTGCTTTGGGTGGTTGGTGGTCCTTGTGCAACTACATGACAGCTTAGAGGTTAGAATTCTTATGTACGTTACATATATTCATATTGTGTGACTTCAGAGGATCAAAGAGTTCAAGGAAACTTCTGAAGAGAAATAAATTAGTCACTGAAATGTGAAGATGAAAAGCATATTTCATGAATTCTGGGAATGTGAGTGTAAACCTTATAAGCTGGCATGATATCGGAGTCTGCGGGAAAGACGGCCTGTCTTAAAGTTGCAAGAAAAAGGTTGTTATACAAGGATTTAATTAACAGGCTTTCCACTCTTAATCTTTGACCTTAAGTCTAAGTCACATTTACAGACAAAAGCAGGGAAGAAAAACTTTGTGCGAGTGATTTCTCCAAAAAGTTCTGGGAGTGAGGTGCTCCTATTAAGGAGACTGCAGTTGTTGGTTATAGAGCCCCCCTCCCCCTATTAGTAAAGCCATAAAAAATCTGTTTACTAGTCTTATCATCTTTAAAAAAGGCTGGCTGGTGTGAACTCTTCCTCAATCATTGCTCAAAACTTTTAGACGACCTTAAAAGAGGTATGAAGCTGGCAAAGGCTACAAAAACAAGACTTGGCTGTACATCAGTCCATGGGTAGGCAAACTGCCCACAAATGGAGCAAAGTTCAGGTCACCAAGAACACAACATGCAGTCCTGGCAGATTGGAAAGAACCCAGCGTTTGGAGTAAAATGTTTGCAGAAATCCCTACACTTAGCTTTAGTCTTTGTTCATGAAAAAGCACGTAACGTGAAGAGACAAAAGCTGAGCTTTTGCCTGACACTGAAAAGGTACTGCACCAAAACATCATCCCCACCGTGAAGTGTGGTGGAAGTAGCATTGTGGCTTAGAGTTGATTTCCTCAAGGCCAGGATCCTTGCAGTCATTGAAGGACATGGGAATTCAGAATTGTGTCAAAACATATAAGATTATAGGAGAATGAAGCTTCTGATCCTAAAGCACACAAGTGAACAAATATCAGAATGGCTAAAAAAGAGGAAAACTCTGGTTTTGATGTCTGTGAAGGTTCTCAGTCATCCAGGTCATCGTAGTCAAAGGAGCTTGCAAAGAAAAGCGTCTGGACTTCTATAAGTTGCTTGAAGACGTTTCACCTCTCATCCGAGAAGCTTCTTCAGTTCTAAGGTCAAATGGTGGAGAGTCCCAGATATAAACCTAGTGGGAGTTTCCCCCCACAGAGGGACAAAAGGACCCCTGATGATCCTCTAATCGCCTGAGCCAAGGTGTGAAACTGGGTGTGGGTCCCAATCAGCCAGAGTTTCGGGTGTGTTCATTGTGAAACCTGGCCCCACCTTATCATGCGAATTCCTGAGGTCAGATGGCCCAGGATGTGAGTGGGCATTAAGGCGTCTGGGGAGGGAACTCAGAACTGGATTATAGATGGCAGAGTTGGCCATTCCTGGGCATTCCTCGCTGCACTCTACAGCATCTGGTTTTGGAATGATCAAATCAGAATTCTGACCTTTGAGATGGAGCTTGCTGTGTGATGAGAAGAAATATCGATGAACTGAACTCTCTCTCATCTTGATGTGCAAGTCTTGGCAATAATCAGGTTGTGTTGTCTGTAATTGTGACTAAGATGAAGTTTAATCGTCTGACTTCAAAACTCACATGTTATTGGTATACTGTCTTATTCTTGCAACTGTGTATATGTTTCATCTGGTATCACAGTCTGTAGGGGCCATGTATGCAGGTCTTTCATTGAGGCCCCTGTGATAACACTCATCCTCGCCCCTCCTTTCCTTCTCCACTCCTCCTCATCACTACTTCTCCTCTTCTTCTCTTCCTCCCTCTGACCCCATTCATCCTGATCTTCCTTTATCACTCTTGCCCTTACGTCATCACGCCTCACCATCCATCTTGCTTGTACTCCCTTGTTCGCACTCCTTCACCCATCTCTCATTCCATCCTATCTTCCTTTTCGACCTCCTCTTCCTCTCCTATAGCTCTTAGCGTCTCTGTTCCAGGGTACATCCCCAGCTACCTGGAGAAGGACGAGCCATGTGTAGTGTGTGGGGACAAGGCGACTGGGTACCACTACCGCTGCATCACCTGTGAGGGCTGCAAGGTACATAACACCTCTGTTGTATCAACATGGTGCAGATATTAGTTTGTCATGTATTATACACTCTGACAGCTCTGGCAGGAGGTAGAGGTGGCTGATCCAGCTCTAAAATGACAGTTAACATCACCACAAAGGAACTTATAAATCTGAAAGCAGTTACTTCAATTCTTTGTTATCTATATATCACCAAGTCAGAACAACAGTCATCTCAAGGCAGTTTATATTGTAAGGTAAAGACTTAATATAATCGAAAGAAAACCTCAATAATCAGACAACCCCCTATGAGCAAGCACCTGGCAAGAGTGGGAAGGAAAAACTCTGTTTTAACAGGAAGAATCTTCAAGAAGGAATGGGTTCAGGGCAGAAAGGCAGGACAAAAGACACACTGAGGAAGAAGATCTAATGACTAAACACAGAGTGCAAACATGTGGAGAGTGAAAAGAGTGAATGAAAAAAATGTTTCATGGAAAGCCCACAGCGGCCTGGCCTGTTGGAGCATAAGTAAGCAAGATTCAGGCCATAGCGATAAGTTTTATCAAAAATGGAAGGTGTAAGCCTAATCTTAAAGGTAGCACACTGTCTTGTAAACTGATTTCAAAGAGCTACAGGTAGCTGAATAGTTAAGCGTGAAAAAGCTCAGTGTTCGAAACACATAAACGTGAAGTTGGGTGGGCTGCCCAGGTATCATTTGTGCTGTACTTTAGTACTTTTGCAGATAGTGAACAGTGTGATTTGTAAGTTCTTTCACTGCTAACGAGCTAGCCCCAGCCCGTCATGTCTTCTGTTGCCCTACCAGCAACTGACTTGTTCACTGTTATGATGACATTCAGCTGTTTCTCCAGGACGTCTCTTGTCTTGGACAGACTCCAACTCCAGCGCCATAGGCTCCCGCCGCCTCTGTAGGGTAAACATGAGAGTCTGCATAAACCAAAATCATGTGTCCCTACGCCAAGCTAATTGAAGCTGCGGAGGAAAATGGTACAAAAGTCCGTCGGCTCCCTGACGAGGCAGCTACGATTACTCCTCCTGATTATGTTTCCTTTCACCTGCATGTGCCCCCACTCCCACCTCACTCTATACATAAAAATTGCATTTACTTCTTTAGGAAACACTGAAGGATCAGTAAGAAAGAACCATTGTGAGCTCAATGTATTTTCGCAGCTAACTGAATTATTCTGATGAGGTTAGCTAGTTCCCTCAGGAGTCTTTTGTTCAATCCGGAGCCGAGCTGAAAGCTACCATCAAAATTCATTCTCCAACCTCAGATTTTAGTATGTTCAGGCTGTCTCATTCTTAATGCTTTGTATTAATCCACCTCAGTAATATCTTACACCATTTCTTTCACTCGTACTGATGCAGAGCTGTGTTGTTGTGTAGATGAAGATGAGCTCATTCTGTGCAGCTACAATATGTATGTAGTCAGAGAGCTGAATAGATGCTCTGCAGTGGAGAGGAGCTTTTTCTCAGGATAGCATACAGCAGTTACATAGCTCCCAAACGCCCCTGCAGTGTTGCTATAATTTGAGTATTATGCAACCTTTGAACCATGTTAACAAGCATTCATGCAATTTCAGTAGCAATAGCCTCTTTGTTACTTTCTGATCACGCCACAATCCATCCTACACAATTTAGGTTGTTAACGATCCTCATGTGACTGAGCAGCATGACTGGTTTAAAAATATTCAGTTTTTACTATTTAAAGGAAATCACTTTAGTCTTTATTTAGTCTGTTTGGTACCACAGTTGCTGTACTCCCAGCATGAGTAAGAATGACGACTTTGTTTGGGACTGATTGCAGCCCAAGATGAAAACGCATTTGGTGTCCTAATATACACAGTAGGTGAGTTTCACTGAAAATCTGTCACTACAGTTCACATCAGTGCTGTCAGACTGGTCTCAGTTCATAAAACCAATTAAAGTTGAGTTTGATGTGAAGTAGAATGGACCAGTAACACCACTGCCTCATAAGCTACGCCAAGTTTTCTTCTAATGTAAACAAGTGGTTTTTGAAAATGCTCATATTTATAAACCCTTTCCACATGACCAGATGAGCAATCTGACACGTGTTTAGAAAAATAAGTGCAGTTTCACATTCACTCAAAGCAGCCGGCTCTTTGATAGTAAGAAGGCTGTAAAACAAGGATTCACACACAGGAAATTAACACTTCCACCTTAAATACTCTAAATGTTGTTTAAAAAAATGAGTTTCTCAGCACAAAACAAGAGTAAAAAGTCCCATCCCCCTGTGCACTGCAATTTTACAAAGCACAGCCAAAGAGTGGAAAGATTGGTTCCTTCCATTCTGTGATCGGGCCTCATGTCTGACACGTCTGATAGCGTCTTTATTTGTCCCTTTGATTTGTGGGCTACAGAAAAACAGCCTTTTATGATGTTTAGAATCCAGGTGTTTAGCAGTTTGACATTCAGGGAAAAATCACTAAAGGAAGCATCAATCTCCTGTGTCAAATACAGTGATATGTGCCATACTGTACATTAGTGAGTTGCCAGCAGACTCCTTGATGGCTGGCACAGAGGTGCTGAGAACTGATCTATTATCTAAGGACTGGCAGCCTGGCAGCAGCCCCTCAAACTGGCTGCAGTTATTCTCAATATAACACACTCACAGGGAAGCAACATTTACATTTAAATGTGTTTCCTCAGGCAGAAACACTTGTTTCGTATTCACTTAACTTTCAAATAACAGAGTAACACTTCCTACCTCGCTCCACTTTTGGTTCAAACCAGGTCTTTGTAAACCACGTCTGCTGTGTTATTCCAATCGAACCGTCTCGTGTCAAGCTTGCGAGAGATGTTCAGTCATGCCATCAGTTCATTACTTCACGATTTTTGGCAAACAGGATCTTGGCTCACAGTCACCAACATGCCTTGTGATGTGACTCATTTAATGAACTTGTTTTATTGTAATCAGAACACAAGAACATTTAATTGGTGGATTTAATTTTCACAACAGTTCAATTCATTTTTATTTATACAGCCCCAATAACAGCAACAGTCACCTTGGTAAATGGTAAATGGCCTGCATTTGTATAGCGCTTTTCTAGTCCATAGGACCCCAAAGCGCTTCACACTACATTCAGTCATCCACCCATTCACACACACATTCACACACTGGCGATAGCAAGCTACATTGTAGCCACAGCTGCCCTGGGGCGCACTGACAGAGGCCAGGCTGCCGGACACAGGCGCCACCGGGCCCTCTGACCACCACCTTAAGGCGCTTTATGCTGTAAGGTAGAAACTATAATAATACATGCAGAGAAAAACCCAACAATCATATTGACTCCCTATGAGCAAGCACTTTGGTGAAAGTGGGAAGAAAAAACTCCCTTTTAACAGGAAGACACCTGTTCCCCTTTCCTTCTCCTCAGGGTTTTTTCCGTCGGACCATCCAGAAGAACCTCCATCCGTCCTACTCCTGTAAATATGAAGGTTGCTGCATCATCGACAAGATCACGCGCAACCAGTGCCAGCTGTGCCGCTTTAAGAAATGCATCTCTGTGGGCATGGCCATGGACTGTGAGTTTTTTTTTTTGTTTGTTTTTAAGCTCGTCATAGATTTTAGAGAAGAGGTAATGATTTTTAGTTCACCGAGGTTCATTTATTTAAAAAGCAGCCTTCTTACACAAAGGCAGATTGAAGGTGCTGTGCAGAGAAAGTAACTCACTCTAGAAAGCACAACAGAAAAGTAAAACAAAAAAATTACAACTAGTAACTAGTAAAAATAAATATTTCACATAGAAATAAAAAAGTAAAATCGATTGTGTCTGGCAGTTACGGTGCTAGTTGATTGTAACTTCTCAGTTTTATCTGCTGTGTTGGACTTTTAGAGCCAGAAGTTACTCTATTTAGAAGAGAAGGTGATTAGTTGTTAATCTGATAATGCCTGCAAGTGTGCTTAGCTACGGGCATTCATCAAATGTACAAGTGCTGATAGCTGCTAACCAGTGCTGAGTAATAAAGTGATAAAAATACTACAATTTTACTCATCAAAATCAAAATGTTCGCTGTGTTACCCCACAGAGAGTCAAATTGTTGCTCAGTTAATTCCACTAAAATGTTCCAAAAGACAGCAGGAGCACAAACAGGGTGAAGAGGTCCAGTTCAGAGGCTAGAGTTAGCTCCCTGATTTGTGACACCTGTCAAACCCCTGCACCAATCTCAGCATCCAGATGGATTGATTAAAAAAACAGAAGAAGAAGAAAGAAATCATGCACTGTGTCATTTTTATGTAAAGTGAAGCTATGCAGTAGTTTTTGCTACTTTTGTGTTGGCTTTATCTTTTTCGGCCCACGTGAGCAGTGCACATTGTTACAGTGTTTGGCAGTAGCTGTGCCTGAAGCTGTGCTGGCATAATCATCTATAGCATCTATAAAAATCCTTCATAAAACAAGCTAACGGAGCTTTGATTAGCATGAGCTAAGCTAGCTCTCGGCATCTAGCGTTGTTCACATACAACTACAACAATCAGTCATCCTTATCCTCAAGCACAGAGAGGGAAATATTCATCACAAACAAAACAGAACGATGGATCCACAGCCCCATTCAAAGTAAGTGAGAGGCAAGAGCATCGAAGCGTGAAACCCGTGCATGCGTGGGTAGCCTGAGCCTTTTGTTCTCACATAAAAACTTTGTACTGGACTCTAATTTGAGATGAACAGTACACCCTTTCAAAATTTGCAAAAACGTGTTACTGGGTGTTCACACAGATTTCTGCACAACGTTGCAGTCTAACTAGTTAGAGTGATGAATAATGGGGAACTCTCACATGCTCATCAGCATCTTTGCAAGTGCATCTGCTTGTGTGGATGTTTCCCAGGATGTTTAAAAAAACCCTCGCACACACATTTAGAATATTTGTAGCATATTTACTTCTTTATGTTTGTTTTAGTATTTGCTTTAGCAGCATTAGTGCTTTAAATTTGTAAGCCATTTACTGCAGTGGATTAGCAGAGGAGGAGACTTCAGTCACGTCTGATAAACACACTCAGTGTCACCAGAGCTCCTTGCAAGCACGAGGATGGCAGTGTACACAAAAGTAGGTGCTTTTATTAGCACTGAGTGCGTAACCAGGATATCATCTGTGCAACCTTGTATGCAAGCTGTTTGTGCCTTTATACAGCAGCGTATATAGGATTTTACTACAAAGTGTTATGCAACAGAAGTAACATCTATTTGTGATTATTCTCCGCTTCTGTTGTCATGTTTGGAACACGTTTGCTAAAACTGATTTAGCCCGTGTCCTTAAAGGAAGGGATTGATTATTACTGACTCTGAATGTGCACAGAGTACTCATGTTGGAAGAGAGCTGTGATTATAGGCACTCTGTGAAAGAGTCATCCAGGCGTAGTGCATAATTAGCCTATTATCAAAGTCCTTTCAGTGTAAAACCTACGATCAACAGCTACTGCATTGGAAAGGTTTCCAGCTCAGCTGTAGACAAACATATCAGAGCTCCTCGGTCCAATAATGCATGTTCACTGTGCCTATTTTTGACTAAACTGGCAGGCTTTCATCTCTCACAGAAAAAAGAACAATTCCATGTTGCTGTGTTCTTCCTGCCCCTGTCTGATAGTGGTGTTGGATGACTCAAAGCGCGTGGCCAAGCGCCGTCTGATCGAGGAGAATCGCGAGAAGAGGAAGAAAGAGGAAATGATGCGGATGCTACAGACGAGGCCAGAGCCAGACACCGCAGAGTGGGAGCTGATCAGGATGGTGACCGAAGCCCACCGGCACACCAACGCCCAGGGCTCCAGCTGGAAACAGAAGCGCAAATTCCTGGTAGGCTTTTAGTTGAGTGGACATCGCCTTTAGGCTGAGCACTGTTGCATAAACTAGAATAGAAATCTTTTCACATGAAAGTCAATAGCAGTGTCATGTTCAGTTCAGAGAACTGAACATGACACTGCTGTAAAAAGTGATGTAAAGCTTTGCAGAGTTTTACATCACGCTGTTCGTCTGTGTCAGCCGTGGCTGTGGCACACAGCCCGTGGAGGAAACCGAGGTGCCGTTTGCACCTTAATTGCCAACAATCGCTCTTTTGCGTCATGCAAAAATGTATTTATTACACACAGATCTATTCAATGTGACCGAGAAGGATCCCGTGCAGGAAAAAAAACTTCCAAACGGTCCAATAATGACTGCCTGCACACCCAAGGTGCTTTAGAGATAACAAATATGAAGATTATAGAAAGCAAAAATGTAAATTATACAGCAACAGAGATGGAAAAAGTATAAAGCATCATCTTAGATTATGAAAACGCAGCAGAAACTGCAAAAAAAATTACATAACACAGATCTGGGCATTTGAATCGGGCTGCTGTTTGGTCCTCGCAACAGCTCCTTCCTTCTTTCATGTAGCTCGTTATTCCAGAATTCAACAGCGCCTTGAAAGTCAGTTCCACTTCAGATATCAAACATCAACATAAAAGAAGGCGACTTCTTTTCATTTCAAAAGAAGCCGTTTTGAGAGCTCTCCTTTTCATCATGGCCAGCTTGCTCTGTGGCGTCCCATGTGATCAGTGTAACGTGCAGGCGCACGTGCTTTAAACCTCAAAAGGTTACCTTGACGCAAAGGTCAGATGTTTGTTCCCAGGCAACAGTTCCATGAAGGTAAAGACGGCTTTAAAGTTTTTAACAGTCTTCAGGTTACAGTTCGATTCAGCTCACTTTTATTTATGTAGCGTTCGCCAGCAACTGGAAATAATTTCTTAGGCATTGTGCTCATATTACAAAAGAGCGAACATTCATGTGCTTAAACTAAAACAATGCAACGACTGTGATGTGATTTGCATCTTGCACACACCGCTGAACAGATGGCATCAAAGACCAGAAACATGCAGTTTTAAATATTTGTTTCCGTTTTGTAACATCATAACGTAACATTGTATATGCTGCATTTACATTTATATTACATCGTGTTCTTCTAAAGCTGTAATCTCCTAAACCGACTCCATTTTTCCTTGAGCTTCTTTGATACGCCTCCTCTGCAAAGAGAATCAACCCACAGGCCGGGCGTTAAGCGCCTCATTCAGCAGATATTTCTTGTGGTATTTAATAGTTGAACAATGTCTCCTTTCTAGCCTGATGATATTGGCCAGGGTCCTATGATGCCCACTTCAGACGGAGATAAGGTGGATCTGGAAGTCTTCAGCGAGTTCACCAAGATAATGACCCCTGCCATCACTCGCGTCGTCGACTTTGCCAAGAAACTGCCCATGTTTTCAGAGGTATGTGGTATGCGTGGGGCTTTACATCACTCTTTGTTTTGTATTTATCTTCAGTCTTTGATTCTACTCGCACATCACGTCAGTTTTCCAACTTTCCGATCACTCTCGCCTTTTATTCAGTGATAACTTCACAAGTCAGGATCCTCTGCCTTGGATGCTGTGTGTGTGCTCCAGACAGACTCTGACTTTTCCTCACATCCCGCTTACACAGGACTAGATTTATAGTACAATAAAACAAATCTGCTTTTTATGTGGATATCTTTAATATGAAACATTAGCTGTAAGATGGATTTCGTCTGCTATCAGTTTGCAGCTGAACAGGATTAAGTTAGCATGCAATCTGTTCGTGATGACAGAGTTGGGATAATCGCAAAACTGTTGCTGTTTATATACACAAAAGTTTCAATTACACAAAATTTCACATTAGTGGCGTACATTCCAGTCCAGACAGAACCTCATCAAAGAAAAAAATCAGATATTTCTCTTTAAATTGTGACATATTTGCTGCAAGACTGCAATTTAACAGTAAATCACATAGACTCATATCAGTATTGCTTTTATGTAGGAATATAAGCAGAATACAACCAGCTGAGTCAAATCTCTTATTGAAAAGAGATGCAGACGAGCTGCAGTCATCAGCACAGCCTGCCTCCGATTGACTGCAACGTGTTTGCGTTTGTTTGCCGACAGGTCGCTTCCCACCAGGCAACCTGTGCCATCAAACTGTTGCCTGCCATCAAAATCATTTTACCGTGAAGGTCATGTTCTCGTGCAGCTCTGGACTGCTTCCACTTCTGCTGCTATTTCTAGATCACTGCCTGGAAGTCCCATTCTGTCCCTTGCAGTTGTGCCTTTGCATTATATGCTGGATCTCCTCCAATGTGTCACAATGGCAACTCTTCAACTTAACTTTCCTTCAGCTGGCCCAGTGTGTTGCCTTCTGGCTTGGATATCATGAACTTATGGGTGACCCCAGCTGTCATCAACAGAAATTACTCTTAACATGAAAGTCGGGTAACAAGATCAGTTAGCAGTACAGATTAAAGAACCTCAGTAAATAATGTGCAACATTTAACTGAAGAGGCTTCTAAAAATCTGCGATAGTATTGTTTAAGTTTATGCTGCATTCAGTAAGAGACAAGTTTTAAGAGAAACATCAGCAGCAGTCTGATTTCTTACTCTGTGCCCCAGGAAAGGTTTCCAAACCCCCATTTCAGTCTTTTATATCTTTTCCCAAAATGTCAGCTCACACAGTACCTAAATATAGCCCGTCTACTTCAAAGACAAGAACAATTCAATCCAGTGGCTTTAAAAATGTGTCGCTCTCTCGAGCTTCCACTTTTACTGAAATTAACACTGAGTTTCTTTATTGTCATTTCTTTAAATTCTGATTTCCACTTTGGATTAGACGGCTGTAAATGATTTAACATTGTTATCTAAACTACACGTGTGCATACTCTGGTTTCACGGTAATGTTTAAAGGCAGACTGTGAGCGTAGCTCGCCGTTAAAACACTAACAAGCTCGTTAACCTAAGCTGGGTCTTTTGATTGGGAACTTCCTCCATCTGAAGCTTTTGTCCTGCTGCGGGTCAGCTGGGATTACACCGACTAATCCACCCCACACCCCCACCGCTGTCTCCCTCTCTCTCTGTATTAAGTGGTGACTCACCACTTACTGATATTGCTTTGCTCTCTGTGCAAACGATCTGTGAGCAAGTGCCATCGCATGTCTTCCCACCTAACTGAGTGCACTCATCATGTATATTGTAGGGGCTTCCTGGTTACATAAAGCCTGGCAAAGGACTTGTTGTGACTAGAATATTATAACCCTTCAACTCTTATAATGGGGTGGAGGAAAAGCAGTCCTAATCCATTTCACTGTGTGTTTCTGTTTGTTGTTGTGAAAGAGTCGGGACACTGTGTCAATGTAAATAAAAACTGAAAAGATCATTGCAGTTGGTGTAACTTTATTTTTGTAACAAATTGCTTAATATTTGCTAGCTAGCTTTTAGTTACTATTATATCATCAATGTCTCAATAGTTTAGAAAACAAACACAACTGTTGACTTCCAGGACAGAATTTTCTGATTGAAGTTCAGCATTGCCTCATTTCCTGACAAGCTCAAATCTTGTTTCCCAGCTGCCTTGTGAGGACCAGATCATCCTGCTGAAAGGCTGCTGCATGGAGATCATGTCACTGCGTGCTGCTGTGCGCTACGATCCCGACAGCGAGACTCTTACTCTAAACGGCGAGATGGCTGTGAAACGCGAGCAGCTGAAGAACGGCGGGCTGGGCGTGGTGTCGGACGCCATCTTTGATCTGGGCAAGAGTCTAGCACAATTTAATCTGGATGACTCGGAGGTGGCGCTGATGCAGGCGGTGCTGCTCATGAGCTCAGGTGAAAAACAAATATTGTTACCATCGTCTAAAATCTGTTTAAGAGAAAAGATGTGATGTTTGTCATTCGACACTGGTTTTGTTAGATTTCAGGTTGTATTCCCAGCACAATCTTTACACTGAAAATATATTCATATATGAACCAACAAGTGAGGATTTTTTTTTATCTTTTGTGGTCTTATGAAAGAACACAATTTCTTTTTCCCTGAAACATGTTTCAAAACAAAACAACAATGATTTTTTTCACATTAATGCGACACTATGTTGGAAACTAAGTCACTGTTGCTACATCACACAATGAAATTGCTCCACTCACCGAGTACAAATCAGCCAATAATAGCAGGATTGATTTGTCTTCTCTTTTTTAATTTTATGGTTTGGTAGGTTTAAAAAAACATTAATAACATTACTTGATGTTAAATCTCAGGTGTGGTGGTTCTGACCGTCTACGAAGTCAACCTCAGGATTATAGTTGCTGTATGCTTCTGCATGCCACTTTGCAACCCCACTCCACCTGGCTCTTTTGTATTGCTTGTACAGTTTTAGTGTAAATTATTTAGTGCTTCAAATGTTCCACATTTTATCTTTTTTACAGATTAATTTTGCAAATTATTAAAAACAAAAAGCTAAAATATGTACATAAGTATTCACAGCCTTTGTTCAGTACTTCGTTTAAGCACATTTTGGGGCATTTTCTTTTGCAGAGTGTCTCTAACTCCATCAGATTAAATGGGGAGTATCACTGATCACTGCACAGCTATTTTCAGATCCCTCCACAGATCTTCAGTCAGCTTCAAGTCTGTACTCTGATTGGGCCACTCAAGGACATTCACATAGTAGTCCCCAAGCCCCCCTTTGTTATCTAAGCTATGTGCTCAGGGTCATTGTCCTGTTGAAAGTCTGAGGTTCAGAGACTGAACTGCCTTTACCACAGGTGGACTCCAATCAAGTTGTAGAAACATCTAACAGACGATCAGGGAAAACAGGGTGTACATAACATGGCAAAATGTGGAACAAGTAACAGGAATACTTACTTTCTGCATGCACTGTAAATAATGGAGTTGACTGCCTGTTATTTTCTGTGGTGGGTCTTGCTGCTGCTTCTCCTTTAGTCTCTCTATATAATCACATAGAAGGGCAGAGTGCCCTCCTGACAGAAATCACATTTTCAATTGTTTTCAGTCATTAAACGGGAGATAGCTGGAAAGAATAGCAGACTTCTGTTCTTCCACTCTGTAAGGAGCTTTCTGACAACATTCTTTTGTGTCCCAGAACGATGGCAATTAGGCAACTTTGCAGTTTCCAGTGCGTTCATGGTCAGTCCTTACACTGGTGCAGGTGGAGCTTGCTCATTGCCATTTAAAGATATTTGTAAGGAAGTTATTTGCTTCCCATTTTTCAATCATTTGTAGTGGAAAAAACCCCACCATGGGACTGGCCCTGTAGTTTTAGTTCTGCTCTAATGCTAAAAGTCCACCATGGTACCTACAGTTTGACGGACTTTAACCACAGACATAAAGCTGATCACACCGGCTTTATTTGCACACTGATGGAAAAGGGAAAAACACATTAACTAAATTCCCACACTCCCTAAACAACCTGAATGGGAATAATCTTGTCTAATCTGCTTTTAATCCTATCACCACACAGCCCTAATTCCTAGACAGTCACTGTCTCTGAAGCTGGGCCACAAAGCCCCACTTGAGGTGGATTTCTTCAAAGTGTGAAGTAAAAGACACCCAGATGCAACCTTAACAGTGTTGGGGAGTAACGGAATACATGTACCGCCGTTACGTATTTAAAATACAAAATATGAGTAACTGTATTCCGTTACAGTTACAGTTTAAAAAGGTGGTATTCAGAATACAGTTACTTTGTTGAAATAAATGGATTACACGGCGGTACTTTCCTGTTTCATATTGTCGCGGGTCAGGACTGTTTGGGTTTTGTTTGACAGCTACGTTCTGTTGTTCCAGGCGGCAGCATTAGCTCTAAAGAATGTAGCATCATGGGCAGTGTAGTCCGTGCTGCTGGGAGAATGGACTGCCATACACATTATGGGTCTGTGAGCGCGAGGAGCGAGAAAAAGGGGAGTGGAAAGGTACGAGTTGTCATCGAGGAAAAACGGGAGCTGGAAGCATGTAAATATAATAATAACCACTTCAGCCAAGAAGAGTGCCTGACGAGCCCAGTTGTAAGTAAGCTATTAGGACTCGACTGTACACTGTGTTCGTGCAAAAACTAAGTTCCGTTGGAGCAGCCTTTCAACGCCTCTCTCTGTCTCTCGCAAGAAAAGTTGACCCACACAACAAAGTAGAGCTATTTTTCGGCTACGAGCCCGACAGGGACCCCGCCGTATTAGTCAGAGGTCCCTTTACTACAGTTCGGAGTCGCAGACCTTCAGTAATAGTAATAAATCACACAGCAATAGTACATTCACGTTGTTGTAAAAAGCACGATAATATATTAAGTAATCCAAAGTATTCAGAATACGTCATTGAGTAACGTAACGGAATAGGTTACAGAATACATTTTGGGGCATGTATTCTGTATTCTGTAATGGAATACATTTTAAAAGTAACCTTCCCAACACTGAACCTTAACATTGATTATATTAGATGCTTATTCACAAAACCATCTGCTATAAAATAAAATGCAATAATAGTTTCTCATAAATCTCTAATTCTCTGTTTCATAGTTGAAATGATGTAACTAGCGTGCAGTGATACACTCAGAATAATATCTGAACAACACTACAAGGGAGGGACAGACAGTATCGGCATGATTGATAGTTGGAAAGCAAAGCACTGTGCATCACTGCAGATCAGAAGAGCAGATCCTGCAGGTCATTCAAGGTCCTGGAATCTCTCCAAGACCTAGGATGACCTACGGCAGCTTATTTATGGACATGCTGCTGCTGGAATTCTGTCAGGGTGTGTTTGCTTCTGTGTACATTTGAGATATTTTTAGGGGTAAAGATACTGAACACAGCAACTTTTTCCAAATTGTGAATATTGGGCTTTTTTCCCTTGTAGCTGATGGGTGCTAATTCTCTGGTTGCAAACACGCAGTTCCAGTGTTTGAACTGCCACACTTTTGCCACTTTCAGTTAGGTTTGTCGACTATCAAAATCGTTGACAACTACTTTAATAGTTGATGCGTCGTTTGAAGCTTTGCAAGATCCTTAAAGACGCAGGAATAAGTAGTAGGATTTAAGAGTTTTATAACAGACTGAAACAGAAGATGGCAGGAATGCGTGTCTGGTATTGTAGCTGTGCTACAATAGGGGCCGCATCCTTCGGAGAGCGTATTTGTAGGCCGATTACGTCACAGTGGTGTGGCGAAGGATGTCCAAATTCAAAGACTCCTCCAAATGTGGCTGACAAATGTGTCCTCCTTATCCCCAGAATGGAAAGATTGGTTGGGTGTATTCTTCGTGGCCCAACCTATCCCAGAATTCATAGCGCAGCCCAGCTAATTCCAGCTGGCAACAATGGTAGCAGCTATTTATTTTAATAATACTCTGATTACTCTTTCTGGGTCACAAAATAAACTTTTAAGATATTTTCAGGTGAGAATGTAGCTGTGTAAACTTCAAATATCTGCTCTGTTTATCGAGACATCATATACTTGCAAAAGTGTTCCAACGTCACATCACTTATTCTGCCCTCTCCAAGAAAAATGTATGCAGCATTTCAATTTGCAATCTTTCTCCTGTTTTAAAAGGAACCAGGCAGCGGAGGGCACATTTCCCATGTAATTGTTCCTTTGTTCTTTACTGCCTGCAGACCGTTCAGGGCTGACCAGCGTGGAGAAGATTGAGCAGTGCCAAGAGGCTTACCTTCTGGCGTTCGAGCACTATATAAACTACCGCAAGCACAACATTCCCCATTTTTGGCCCAAGCTGCTGATGAAGGTGACAGACCTGCGCATGATTGGGGCTTGCCACGCCAGCCGTTTCCTTCACATGAAGGTCGAGTGTCCCAATGAACTGTTTCCCCCGCTCTTCCTGGAGGTGTTCGAGGACCAGGAAGTGTAACTGTACATCACCCTCAGAAAGAACACTTTTGTGGTGGCTTTGAGAGGAAGTTTGGCTGAAGGACAAGCGAGGACGAAAAACTGGATTTTTTTTTTTCTCTTCATGGAGAACACACTCTGTAAATTTCTCTTGTTGCCCCTTTGTGTGTTTTTTTGTTTTGTTTTGTTTTTTTGATTTGTCAAGCAACTACAACATCCACCACCAGCAAGCACACATCAATATTATCAGAGGAATGCAATCAGTCTCACTAGGCACACACACAAAGTACAAGCAGTGTAAATACTTACATAGCTATTCACACATTCATACACCATAAAAAGTGTATTTATATGCAAACAATTGCACCCCCATGGATACACAGCTGTACTGCTCCTGACTAATGCAAACTGAGGGGCTTGGTTCTGTTTCTACTAGCTGCACAGCCACCTATCACCTCAGATAAGTGCTTTTTTTGTTTTGTTTTGTTTTAATCTCTGGGACCTGATCATTAGCTTCTCTTTCAATCCCTACACCTCCCTCGCATCTCCTTAACTGCAAAGTCATCCTCTGTCCGCAGCCTAGCCCTCAACCTGCCAAGGCCCCGTGAGTCTTTGTTGACCTACCTCCCTCACGTACTGACCTCTCTCTCTCGTGTATACACAGGCACATGGTGTACATGCACAAAAGACACCCCTACAATATTACCTCAAACAATATTACCTTTCTGATTAGAAAACACAGACTCGTGTAATATTTAGTCAAACCATATGCAAGCTACAGTGAGAAAACTTTGTATGAAGCCCTTATTTATATACAGATATGTCTTATAACTGCAGACACGAGATGGTATCGCTCTGTTTCCTGAGCAGAGACTAAACCCAGTCTAAAAAAAAACACTAAAAACTTTGTTTTCAGTTGAAATCTTCATTGAATTTTCCTTCAAGTGTGGAACTGGGCTTAATCCATGCCTGGGACACTGAACCCATAGGTATTAATTACTGTAGTGCATCAGAGGTTACAAGATGTCATGAACATCACGGTGCTTTCTGTGATCACTAAGTGTTTTACTTTAGTGGATTTGATATCCATCTTTGTGCAGTAAATTCTCCTTGTTTACTGACATGGTTTGATATTCTTGGAAACAGGTTTACTTTCTTTCTTGCTGTGACTTAAATATAAAGTTTGATACCATTCTTATGCTGTATTTGAAGCTAACGCTAGCGACTGCTTAGCTTAGCATAGCTATGTTAAGCTATGCTAAGCTATGCTAGCATAGCATCGTCACTGCCAGGCGATGAAGGCTGTCCCAATTCGAGGGCTGCTCCAAATGCGGCCCACAAATGCGTCCTCCTTTTCCCCAGATTTGAAGGATTTGTCGGGTGTATCCTTTGTTGCCCAGCCTATCCCAGGATTCATAGCACGGCGGTGGCTGTGGATGATTTTTTTTTTAATGTTTAGCTTAGTTGTTGTTGTTTGTTGGAATGTTTAAAGCCAGATGTTTTATTATTTCCTGTTTTGTGCTAAGTTAGTGTTTTTATTGGCTGTAGTTTATTTTTTAAAGGACAGATTTGGAAATTGTGTTATTTTTACCAAAGTAAGAAAGCAAAGAAAGAAATCCTGTTTCCCAGAATATCAGTCACTATTACTTTATTGCTTCTTCAGGAGTTATAGGATGTTGTTTTTATCATTTCCATGTCAACAGTAGCAGCATGGAGTTATAAGGAGATTTATTCTAAAACATATTTTTCATTCATGATCTACCAAAATAAAAAATAAAAATAATACTTTTTTTTCTTGTTCATTGGATTGAGTGGATTTGGATCATCTTTACCTCCATTATACCCGAACTGGCAATTAGCTGCTGAAATGGCCAGCTCCAGCCCCGTTCCTCAGAAAGCACTGATTTAGTCATGGCATCTTAAGCATCCAGGAAGAGAAAAGCTGATTGCGACGTTGTTTTATACTAAATATAGCATACACAGGACGTCTGCTTATATTTATACACAGCTGGAATACCTCTCCAACACATACCTCCTGTTGTCTTTACCTCACATACTCATATGCATATTAAACACCCATTTAGTTATTACCACATGCATTACCTCAGTTGTTTTGTGATCAGCACTTCCTCCTCCTGAGTTGTGCACACTTCCTGTGTCTTTGGGTCAGTGTTTGAGTATCCCATTGGATCCCCCTGCTCTATGGTCCGCGCCCTCAGCTTTCCACTGATTTGTGTTAGGTTCAGCACTAGCACATGGTGGTGGTTGTGGAAACCTCTTCAGGCTTCTCCCCATCGCCTGTATCCATTTCAAGTCCCGCCTGAAACTGGCAGATTCTACCTCACCTCTCATTTAAAAGGAGCTCCCCCTCTACCTGCAGCGCATACACATAAACATGCACAGAGATATAAAAATACAGATATATGTACTCACCGTGCACAAAGGACTTGGAAGCATGGACCCACTGAGTGTCTTTTACATGGGCCAGAGATCAACAGCTGAAATTCAGTCCCCCCCCCCTTTTTTTTCAGACTTTATCACAAAAAAATTGGGATCAAGAGTCATTTTTAATTTTTATTTAAGAACCTAAAGTGGCAACACTGCAGACATGAATCTGTGAATCTGGATCTGTGTGCCAATTGAACTTGGAGGAAGCTGTCAGGACACAGTGACAGCTGGAAACTGGCACCACAGTTGATTTTTAGCCCTGTTGGATCAGCCCAAGAGACTCTTCTGGGTGGTGACTGGAAGGTAAATAAACAGCAACTGAGTCAGCAGAATCCGCCTGAGGATATGACTTTTCGTCCTGCCGAAGCGAGGGAAACGGCGAGTGTGTGTGTGACCGTTGCAGTGTGACGCAGTTCAGGCCACCAGCAAACATACGCAGACACGGACCGGGCGATGCGTCCCTGAATTCTTCCCTCGCCATCGAAGCACAAACGGAAAACACTGGCCCAGAAATTCAAATCATGAATTTAACATTGCTGAGACCATCTCCACCAACCATATCCCGCACTGCCATCCTCTACAAATGATTATCAGGTTTTTTTCCTGTTGCACTAAAACCATGCCTGTATTCTTCAGCAGCCCTGAACTCCTTTCCTCTATGACCTCTCCTAAATCTTTCCCTTTCCTGCTAGTCTGTAGCATTCCCAATATCCTCCCTGATGATCTTATATAACCAACAAGACGCGACGCTGCCACTCTCAGTGTTACCAATCTATGTTGCAGGGTATTTAAATAGAACGCGCTTATACAGGGATACAGTTGCGCACACACACACACACACACGGCAATAGGATGATTGAGCTGTCCAAGGTCAGAGCGGCCGTCTCCAGACCTGCTGTGTTTGTACTGCACTCACTATCACTGTGAATGAAAGCCACGCTGCAACCGGGCTAAGGCTCAGACAGGGTACTGCTGGCTTTCTAATTCACACATGTAAATGTGCCTCACAGAGGTGGTACAAATATACACAATATAGGAGCAAATATTTATACACAAACACAACACAGTTATTGTATGTGGCATTCGAGCTATCAGTGGGTGAGTTTATGCTGCCAGTTCCAATCAGATCGTGAATCTGACCGCTCATATAGCACAAGAATCAATGTCTGTACAGTTGTTTTTAATACGTTGGACTTGGGGTTAGACTTTGGACCTGATGTGCGTTTTCTTATATTCTGTCACTGTGTTTAAACAGAAGTTTCAAATAATGAGTTGAGTGTATGTACAAGTAATCCTGCGAGTCAGAAGTCGCTCATCCCAGAGAAACAGCAAGTTGTTTATCGGGAGGGAAGGAGAGCGTAGAATCGCTTGTTTCAGGCAGTGGATGAACTAAAGTGTTACACCGAGCAAAGGACGTTTTTTAAACCAGCTAAAGTAATAAAGAAACAGAGCTTTAAATAAGCATAACAGGGTAATGTAATTGACATATGATTTGCAGTAAATACATTCAAAGGTTACCATATTAGTTGGCCATCGGTAACATCTGCTAAGCACCAACGTTCAGCTTCAAAGTGATGCACTTCCTGTGTGGATGCATACATATAATTTTTATAGATGCCTTGTGGAGATCATCAACTCATGGCTGACTTGCTTTTTGCAAACCTCTTGGTGAATCCCCCCC